TATTTAATGACCGGAACTATTGAAAATTGTTGCAAAGAGCTCTAGAACTTTTCAAGAGAGTATCAGAACTGCAAAAAAAATGTCATATTTTTGAATATGGTGTGCCAAGACTTGGCATAATATTTGTCTAATCCAAAAGTTTCGCAGCTTGTATGTATTGAAAGTGTGGATGCTCCAAACAGAAAAATTTTGAAGAACATTGCTCTATCTTCGCATATGCATTTGGAAGCTTAAAAATATCGAAAAAGTTTGCAGAAAGATTCCCACATATATATCGTTAGGTTTTCCGTTGAATATAGTAAAACAAAGCAACACACATTCATGTAAGTTCTGTATATACAAGAAATACAAAAAGGATAGCGTGATTATGTTAGTGACGATCGTCTCTACATTATCGACACTGTGCTAATTCGTCATCGACTCCAGCATCCCCTTAACTCGAGCATTTTGAAGAACCTCATAAAAATACGCCAACCTGTTTTCGATCAGCTGTGCAACGCCTGTTGCACTGAAGCAAATGTTACTCGGGAACGAAGAGAAGTTTCTTCCGTTTCTTCCGTGGCATTATTTACATATTCAAGTGGGTTGAGTCCGACAATTGTCCGCACAATAGCGCCGGGACGACTGAAAGGACGTCTTCCTGTCAAATCCAATCTCGCCCTTTCGAATCGTGCGATCTCGCCTACTTGTATTTTATTCATATTCTTTTCTATATGCTGTTTTATTCGTGCGTCCCTATCGACTCGGTTCTATCTTAAGAGACGCGTACTGTAACATCACTCTTACCTTTTCTCCAATTCACCACTTCGATGTCGACGCGAATCGCTGATTTAGCTCGACCGGTTACACGACCGTCATCGTGGAAAACGCTATATGTTGCGAATATCTTGAATATCAAGAGAGAAATAGAGTAAAAGTGCCAGCTTGGACACTATTCCGGGTCGGTCGAAATGTGTGCGAGACGCGCTGCATTATTTCGCACACGTGTGACTTTTTCCTTAAGGCTCCTGGCCACTCGTATCGTGCATCTCTTTTTAATAACGTCAGAAGCGAGGAAACACATGCTAAAAATTCCTGTGAAACACGTCGACATAAAAAGACGTATCCACAAAATAACACTTGTAATTGATCAAGCACACCTCTGAAATATTCCTAACCTAGGTTAGCGCGCGTTTGTGGTATCCAGCAAAGCGAAAGTAAATGAAACCGACGGTTTCGCGGGATCCGCAAGAGAAGCCCCGTCATAACCTGAAAAATTACTACGAGTTCTTCGTGGAGGGGGCGTGTGGAAGTAACGTTCCCGCGACGGCACGAACACGAAGACGGCGAACGCAACTTCGTAATCGAGTTAACCCTTCTCTCCGCGAGCGCGCGGGGGTGTCGAAATATGTCAGAGGAACGTATCGGGCCGGCGTTGAAAATTAAAGCCGGCGATAAAGACGCGCGCGTCTTTGCGGCCCTTTTTAATCAGGTATTTTACGGCGCTGTTATCCGCGCGCGCGTTCTCTCCCCCTCGCGCAATTTCATTCGCGCAATTTCATTCGCGCCAGCCCGCGTGATTGCTCGCCAGTTAGAGCGAGAGGAACGCGCTGAGAAACGCGCCGCGAAGATTTTCTTACACCCCCATTCGGCGAGACCCGATCGGCCTCTTAAATAATTTTACGCGCCGGGCGTTTACTTGTTGCGCGAGGTCAGCGTTATGCGCGTACGTGACAGACTTCGAGGGAAACACGGCGAGGAAATATCGCGGCTCGTTCTTGCGCGAAGCGCCTGTCCGCGGCGCAAGTAGAAAAAGCGACGAAATTCCATCGAGTGGACCTGCGGACATCCGTCGCGGGACGTTGGACAGCAACGCGAATTGGCAATTTTAAAGCTCGCAAACCGCTCCATTATTGTTTTTGATGTTACTTTTTGTAGTTTTATTGTGTTGACTTAGACACAAATTGCGTTATTTCTTTCTCTGACGAGAAAGAGAACGAAAAAGCGAAGGGCTGTATTAAAATGAAAACTATTAAAGTAACCATGCCCTTTCTCGCTCTTTTTTTCTCTTTCTCTCGCCTTCTCTTCAAATGCTATGTATTTTAAGTGAATGTCAATATTTTTTAATAAATATCGACTGTTATTGTGCGGAAACTGTGTTTTGACAATTTCATGGCAGGCGCTTGTGTAATGGCTCGCAGAATGGAAAAGTGGAAACTTCATTTATAGATTGATACAGCCGGCAGCAAACGTTCGATCTTCCATCTCTCTCGTCGTAAGTTTAATTAAATTTCACCCGATTTGATTGAACTCTGGCAGTGTGACCTTTCGAGAGAAAGAAAAAGAGAGCGAGAGAGAGAGAGAAAGGGGGAGAGAAGTGTGTACATGTATACGTGTAATATCCAAGCAGCGAGAAATGTTATGATTCTCGTAACAGGGGTTTTCGCAAGTCGGCCGCAGTTGCCGTGCCGTTTGATCGCCGCTGGTCTTTTTGCCGTCGAGCTGTAATCGCGAATTGCATCACGAGATTGCTTCTCGCATCCTTTGCCGTGCGAATATGATTTTCATCGTTTTTGCGCAAGCCGTAAAATTACAAACGTACCTCGCTCGCTCATGACACGCGCGCGCATGCGTAGGAATTACGCTCTCCCGTTTCGCGCGAAATTCCGATTATTTATCTCGCATTGCGGTCGATTCTTCCTTCGACGATACCAACCGTTGGACGGCAATGTCGCGTCGGGAAGAAAAAGCGACTTTAATTTCCACGATCCCGGCCTCGATTTTGCGGGAGCAAAATTCTCGCAGACTCGCTCCCGCGACTTCCATTACGTCGTCGTTCTCCGTCTCTTACAATCAGAAAAGCTAATAATCTCATACTTAATGGAATTAATACCTCCGAATGAACGTTTTATTTTATTTCTTAGACATCTTTTCTCCCAGAAGGCAGCCACACAAGGATTCTGTTGGAACCAATAGATAAGTATTCTAAGGCCCAGTTCCATAATCTCCAGTTAACTTAAGGGGACGCTGGAGTCGATGACGAACTCGAACAGTGTCGATAATAGATACGATAGACGATAATAGATACGTAGAGACGATCGTCACTAAGATAATCACGCTATCCTTTTTGTATTTCTTGTATATACAGAACTTACATGAATGTGTGTTGCTTTGTTTTACCATATTCAACAGAAAACCTAACCATATATGTGTGGGAATCTTTCTGCAAACTTTTTCGATATTTTTAAGCTTCCAAATGCAAATGCGAAGGTAGAGCAATGTTCTTCAAAATTTTTCTGTTTGGAGCATCCACACTTTCAATACATACAAGCTGCGAAACTTTTGGATTAGGCAAATATTATGCTAACTGACAGCTCGAGATTTTACATTAAATATTTTTTGTTCGTTTTCGTCACATATCGAACAATGTTCCTACTTATTTTTGCACATACTTTCATTGCGTAAAAACATTTGTAACTCTGTGTAACCAAAACGACGTAAATTTTGCAAAAAAATGTCAGTATTCTGTTAGTAAAGTTTTCAGCTTCAGCATTTTCTTAAGCTTTCAAATGCAAATGCGAAGGTAGAGCAATGTATTTAAAAATATTTCTGTTGGAGCATCCACACTTTCAATACATACAAGCTGCGAAACTTTTGGATTAGGCAAATATTATGCTAACTGACAGCTCGAGATTTTACATTAAATATTTTTTGTTCGTTTTCGTCACATATCGAACAATGTTTCTACTTATTTTTGCACATACTTTCATTGCGTAAAAACATTTGTAACTCTGTGTAACCAGAACGACGTAAATTTTGCAGAAAAATATCAGCGTTCTGTCGATAAAGTTTTTAGCTTCAGCATCCCCTTAACTGGCTGGTTATTCTATTGAACTTGACCAATCTCATTTGACATTAAGAAGAGTTAATCAGAATTAACCAACCACTATTGGTACTTAACTAGTAGTGAAAATTAAACTGATGTTGTGGAACTTGGCCTAAGCGACAAACTTTCACCGTAGAAACATTCCTCTTCTAATACAAAGTAATATTGTTAATATTGCGCTTGGAATCTTTTAGTTTTAAAGAGGAATTCTTCTTGGGATCGCGCACAAAGAGAATCCCACCCAGGATGAGGTTATATTCTTCTGACTATACGACCGCGTGAATTCGCGAACCGTTTCTGCGCTTTCGCAAGCGGGATCGCTGTGACGGGTCAATCAGAGTGCGAAGACCACACGCAGTATGTGATGTACACAGTGTAATTATTCATTTACACATCTTTACACGTTCATTTTGCACGTTCTGCGGCGTGCAAGCATTTCGATTAAAGCAGAGACTCGCGCGTTCCGTTCGTTGTTCGTCAGCTGTCGTCGGTCACCCAACGTCCTGGAGCGCGATCGATATGCAGGAGGCCGCTAGATCCAATATCCTCCTCCTCGTCCTTCTCCTCCTCATCCTTCCCCTCCTCCTCCACCTCCTCTTCGATCGGTCTCCTGGACACGTACGAGGTGGCCGTGCGTACATTAATTTCTTCTATCTGTCGCCGGCACACACGCAACGGCGATCGACATCGGCTTCAGCCGCCACTTGTGGCGGAGGGCCTCCGGAAGTGGCGTTTCCGGCAGTCCGTTCTCGTCCGAGTAGTGGTCGTCGTTTAATCCGCTCAGATCGCGCTGGCTCAATATGTGAACCTGCGGAGGAGACGGAATAGACGGCACGGAATTACTCGATTCGTCGGGGATTCACGGCCGATTTTTTCTTTCTTTTTCCTCTTGCAATACCGATTCGCGATAGTGGCGGTAATTATAACCGATAAATATTTTTGCTTGACTAAAATAATAACCGAATTTCAGTAATCTCAAAATTAATCTGTTTATTTAAATATTTATTCGCAGTATATATATATTTTTTTTTCCGCAGTAGAAAGTAGTAGTAAATATATTCTCAGTATATATACCCTATGATCAGAAAGTACCGGGAATTTTTAAATAAAACAAAATAGAGTTAAATTTCAGGCAAATTTATTTTATCTCCTTCAAAATATGATCCATCTGAAGCAACACACATGTGCCAACGCTTGACCCAGTCCTCCATGCATCCCTGGTAGGCCGACGAAGGGATGGCCTTTAGTTCCCTCGTCGCATTCTCTTTGATCTCCTCGATCGACTGAAATCTCTTTCCACGAAGTGGCAACTTCAACTTGGGGAACAAAAAAAAGTCGCACGGGGCCATATCAGGTGAATACGGTGCTT